TTTAGGTAGACGGGGCTGACTCTTAACTTTTATAAAGAATATCTCTTTGGATTTGAGACTTTAGTCTTTGCAACTTTACAGATCTTCTTCATGCACCAAGAGCTTGTAACACTCCAAAGAGAAAGGAAAACTTGAAATCACATCATATGACCCTTTAAGGTACTATGCACATGTAAAGTACTTTAGTAATACGTACACTTTAGGTACTAATATGTGCTTTTAAAGTACTAATATGCACCATTTAGGGAAAAATAAGGTACAAATATGTACCTTTTAGCTTATGGGTAGATAAGGTTGATGATAGACAGATAGATAGATAGATAGATAGATAGATAGATAGATAGATGTTGCAGTACATTGTGATGTATTAATCATAGTTTCCGTATGACATCACTTTCATATTGTAGGGTAGAAATAGAACTGAACCCACTTGTTTCAAACATGCAAATGAACAGGAAGACACTATTTTTGAGTTTGAGAGTGAAAAACCATTGCGTCTCATCCTGTTTGAGACATTTACTGCAACAGATCTTGCAGGTAAGGACTTGCTCTATAGTATGGGATCAATTTCTTGCTTTTATACATTTGACATGTAATGAGTGAAATATTACTATTAATAATGCATGCATATTCGGTTTCATTTGAATTCATTATAAAATATACCGAGTTCTCAAAACTGTGCTGCGTGTGCACAGCTGTTTCTGAATGTGTCTTCAGGTCTGCAATTCTAGATTTAACACAAGTGATATGCTTTTGACAACATGCCTTTTGTTTTTTGTTTACATTGAAGTTGTAATGACTGGTTAAAGCAAGTGCTCCCTGGTTAAGCAGGTTTAGTTGTTTGTGGTGTAATCTGCTAATTTCTATGTAAAAAGGTGGACACGTAAACATTTGCTTGACTTAGAGCACAAATTTCTGATCTTTAAGATTTCATTTAGAATCTATAATAAGTGCTTGTGGTGTACATCGAGTAGCCAAGACTTTAATTATGAAATTCCATTTGAATTAATTTCACAATTGTATGTCTGTGTGTGTGTGTGTTGGCGGAGATGACCTTTTCTGCTGTCTGTGACTCATTGTGTAAACAACACTGAAAACATTGAAAAATCATCTCATCCTCAGAGGAGATTCAAACTTTCCGCTAACTGCACACATGCACACCCACCCAGCCGCCCACCCACGAACACCCACATATACTTACAGTAATCGCTCATTTTCTGTTTTGTTGATGTTTTCAGTGGAAATAAGAAGCTATTAGTGGACATAAGAAAGTTGGTCTAAACAGTAGGTTGAGATAGAATTATTCATTCATTTAGACTGCTTAATTTGCTGCTCTGTTTCTAGACCTTGTTTTGCAGAAGATATGCACTGCTGACATTCACTTTTCTGTTTCTTTCCTGTTTCTTGTCTGCAGGTGCTCAACAGGAAATCTGGTGTCTTATTTTCAGTCTTCAAAGTCGAGCTGACAGCTATGAAACTCATTCTGCGGTGGATTTTTTGCT